AGCAGAATTCCTTCTCCCTCTCTGATTAATCACACACTCAGAAGTAAGAGGCCATGAACCACAGCTAACTTAGTACACACTGAAACACCAAAGAATTGGTAACAACCTCATCAGGTCTACGATACTGATATATACATACCAGTATGCCATCTCACACTATCAAGTTTGTAGGTAGGTTTGTACCTTTACAAAGCATGTAAACTCATAGAATGAAGGTATTACACTAATTTTGAGGATTAAAACAAATATTTAATAATACATTTACATAAAAACATTATACACATATTTGCATGCAAATTAATTCCCTCATACACATATTATTAACACACCTCAGATACATGTATCAACATACATGAAATATAAGTGTACTTCCAGATTGCACAGAGTATTCCTTCAGTTGTAAATATGCATCCTCATATTAACAAAAATTGTGTATATATATTGCTCACAGTCAGGTAATCAATAGCACACCTTCTTGTGCATGCGTTCAAATCCCCTGCCTTTGCATACATGTAAACAGAGGAGAGAGGAAAGTTAGGGGTTAATGCTTCTAGCTTCAGTACTCAGTCTCAGAGGAAGCCAGTGCAAGTAGACAGCAGGACTCAGGGCAAGGAGAGAAAAATGCTCGGGGAAACAAAAAGGTCAGCTGCTTTCCTTCAAATAGGCCCTGATCTGAGGTTTCTAGCAAAGGCTGAATCCTAGGGGCTTATTTAGGGACAGGCTGGATGTGGCACAGATATAGTGGAACTCAGGGTGAGTATTTCCCTGTACCCAAGGCACATCTGCACTTTACAGAAAACAGTGGAACACTCTAAGTCTGAGAAGACAAAAGGAAGGTGATGCACTGTGCAGAAAGGCCTGACTCCCTGAGAATCCGAGATTCAGAAATCAAAGAACACTTAATACCACTCTGAGTTGGGGAGAAAGAGTAATTCTCCAGAAGAAACTGAGAAAGGTAAGAAGACCACCTCCATACATAACCCTTCCAGGAAGGACATTGCAACTGAACCCAGTATACTCCACTATCATTGCTCTACAGCTTATCTGTAAGTACTGAAAAGTAGGAAATAGTCACAATTTCCCTAAAGCTATTCTTTAGCAAGATCTCAGCTCATTTTACTTTTTATGCCTTGACTGGCTTCAGCAACACAGCTGTCTGATGGACACAACTATTTCCACATATGGGTGGAGTAATGGAGGTCCAACAGAGCTAGTGGGTTATAGGCTGGATTCAAATCCATATTTTCTGATGAAAGCTGAACTCTATTCAGCATAAAACCACCAATTCTCTGGTCCCCCCCCCCCCCCCCCCGCCCCCCCCCCCCCCCCCCCCCCCCCCCCCCCCCCCCCCCCCCCCCCCCCCCCCCCCCCCCCCCCCCCCCCCCCCCCCCCCCCCCCCCCCCCCCCCCCCCCCCCCCCCCCCCCCCCCCCCCCCCCCCCCCCCCCCCCCCCCCCCCCCCCCCCCCCCCCCCCCCCCCCCCCCCCCCCCCCCCCCCCCCCCCCCCCCCCCCCCCCCCCCCCCCCCCCCCCCCCCCCCCCCCCCCCCCCCCCCCCCCCCCCCCCCCCCCCCCCCCCCCCCCCCCCCCCCCCCCCCCCCCCCCCCCCCCCCCCCCCCCCCCCCCCCCCCCCCCCCCCCCCCCCCCCCCCCCCCCCCCCCCCCCCCCCCCCCCCCCCCCCCCCCCCCCCCCCCCCCCCCCCCCCCCCCCCCCCCCCCCCCCCCCCCCCCCCCCCCCCCCCCCCCCCCCCCCCCCCCCCCCCCCCCCCCCCCCCCCCCCCCCCCCCCCCCCCCCCCCCCCCCCCCCCCCCCCCCCCCCCCCCCCCCCCCCCCCCCCCCCCCCCCCCCCCCCCCCCCCCCCCCCCCCCCCCCCCCCCCCCCCCCCCCCCCCCCCCCCCCCCCCCCCCCCCCCCCCCCCCCCCCCCCCCCCCCCCCCCCCCCCCCCCCCCCCCCCCCCCCCCCCCCCCCCCCCCCCCCCCCCCCCCCCCCCCCCCCCCCCCCCCCCCCCCCCCCCCCCCCCCCCCCCCCCCCCCCCCCCCCCCCCCCCCCCCCCCCCCCCCCCCCCCCCCCCCCCCCCCCCCCCCCCCCCCTCCCCCCCCCCCTCCCCCCCCCCCCCCCCCCCCCCCCCCCCCCCCCCCCCCCCCCCCTCCCCCCCCCCCCCCCCCCCCCCCCCCCCCCCCCCCCCCCCGCCCACCCCCCCCACCCGCCCTCCCGCCCCTCCCCCCCCCCCCCCCGCCCCCCCCTCCCCCCCCCCTATTCATGACTTCATAAGTTTGTGAAGAAACAAGGGCAATGAGATTTCTGACAGGGAATGCACTGGATTCCACGGAATCACTGTGGAAAGTATAGAGAAGAAGCAGGGGTACCTATGATGGCCCCAACTCCCCTTCAAGATTATAGTTTGGCTCAACCCTCCCATTTTACACAGGAAAGAAAATCTGAGAGCATGAAATCTCAGCCGGCAGAATGGAATGAAGAAGGCTGAAGGGCTCATGTTAATGAGGGAGCTCTTTGCTGTTGAGGGGAGTATCTGACAGCCCAACATTGAGGCTGGCATATATAAGAAAGGGGAATAGAGGAAATGATTTTTGAAAGATGTTCCTTAATTTGCTTAGCTGAAATGTGGATGGAAAGAAGTGTATAGGACAAGTAAGTGCTGCATTAAGTCCTTCATTAAGGCTAGGGGGCAAAAGTCAGTAAAGATGTCATCCCAGAGGAAGCAGCATATCCTCAGAGATGTCAGAAGACCAGAAGAACCAGTAAAGTGAAGTTTCAATAAAGTGAAGTTTTGAGGTTCTGAGTCCAAATGCAAATCTGTCACTAATTCAATATACTTATTCAAGCCTCCTACATATCCACCTTTGTCACAAAAGGACAAAAATCTCTGCTTAACCCAACCAGGGTGGGATTCCCAACCATTCATTATCCAGCAAAGGCAACAGTGTGTGCTACCAGGAGCCATAACTGTGGAGTGATTCACTGTGACACAGATTTAGTATGTGATACCAAGAAAATCATATAATAACTCTGAATTCTATTTTTCCCATGGATAAAATGAGGATGCAGAAATTTTATGAGTTATGAACATGAACAACTAATTTTAAGTCTACAGTGCAGGGTCTTAAAAAAATCAATCCATTCCAGTTAATCAGTGATTATTATACACATAATCACTGAAAACTTGTACCTTCAGATAGCACCTCTTCCAGTGTGTTTCCCAGGAATGAGGATGATCTCAGTATGCTTTTGCTAGTAAGATAAAACAGCACCTAGATCAGCAACTAGTGAGACTCAGGATCTAGATCATATAGGGGCAGAGGTAGAAAGGGGTGAAGACTCTGGCTCAAATAGAAAATGCAGTATTAGATCTGGAAAAAGAAAACAAAGTACAGACCCTGAGCCCCAGGTAAAATGTGTCTATGACCAAGCCTGGTGGGACACAGGCTTGTGATCCCAGCACTTGGGAGGCTAAAGCAGGAAGATCCAAATTCAAGACCTGTTTTAAAAACCGTTCATGCTTGAGTGAGTGTGTGTGTGTGTGTGTGTGTGTGTGTGTATGTGTGATGTGTGTGTGTGTGTGTGATGGTATTTGCTTTGAGTAAACCTATACTTCTCATTTAGGTAAAATGCTGTTTCCATTTTAGAGTACAATTTAAGTAATTTTAAGCTCCATTTTTCTCAGATCATTATAAACCTAGAGAAAAATTAGAAGAAACCTTTCATTTTTATTAGCATATATTAATTGTACAGTGGGGGGATTTGATGTGACAATTCTAAATAGCCTTATATTGTACATTGGTTAGATCGCCCTTAAGGAACCACATGGTCTAGTAAAATAAAATATTCATTAGTTCCTAGAGGTGATTTGTTAAGGGGGATTAGATGCAATCTTATTCTTTACATGTTATTCTGTGAAAGAAGCATAAATTAAGGCTTTCAGACCAGGGCAAAGGACAACTGAGACTAAGAAATGAAAAGGTATTGGGTATGAACCAAACTAGAATCTTTGTGCCACTGATTTTGAGAAAGGTTGCAGTCATCAGAGGGATCAAGCAAGCATAGAGTCAGCACCTGTAAGGCAAATACAGAGAATGGTTCTCACAGGTTACTCACTGGCAGCATGGCAGCCTGTACTATCAGAGATGAACACGACTCTCATGTGATCATGGGTTTAAAATAGAGTAACATGAGGCTTTGTTAGGGCATGCAGGTATTTTTCATCAGATAATAAGTATGCTACCACTGAATAATGGCATTTATTTTTTGTCTCCTTCAGCAAATACTTAATAAACTCCTACTGAGTACCAGGCACAGAGATATAATGCATATTTCAAGGCTAACATCCTGAAAACCTTATCACCTAGGACAACCCTTGGTAAACTAGAGTCTGTAGAATAAATTCAGCTTTCATGTTGCCCTAGACACAATTATATGGACTACATCCACACACATGCATTTATGAATTGTCTATTGCTGTTTTTGCACTATCAGTCAGTTAGTTTTGTTCAAATCCAAACCTCATGGAAACTCTCCTAGATTTAAAGTTAACTCAACATCATTACAAAAATTGCTATGGTCCTTTAAGCCATGCTGCCTTCTTATACTAGAATGATGCCCAAATGACTTAAAGACTAATTGTCTAAAATTACATATGGTAAATGTTTAATAATCAGTTGTTACTTGTAAAGAAAAGAAAGGCAAAACTTACTATGACATTACATGTCAAGATGTAGTTCCCTTAATGTATTTCACTTTCAATCAATATGTGGCAAAAAAAAAATTACACTAGGAACAAGGATGCTCCAATGCCATTTTAATGACATAAGGGTGAATTAACAATGAGTCACATCAATTTGCGTTGTAAAATTTTATTCATTAAAATAGCTTAAGATATTAGGTTTCTCATTACTCAACTGAACCTTCAATTTATAAGGAATAGTGATAATTTTTTCATTGTTATCATCTGCAGAAAGCACATTACACTCACAACAGAGAACATATCCATTCCCTGATGCTGAGTTCTGAAAACAGCTCTTCTCATCCTGAATTCTTCACCTTGCTTGGAATCCCAGGGCTGAAAAACACTCAGTTTTGGATTGCCTTTCCATTCTGTGTCATGTTTGTCGTGGCTGTGACTGGAAACATCACCATCCTGCATATAATCCGAACTGACCACACCCTGCATGAGCCCATGTACATCTTTCTAGCCATGCTGGCCATCACTGACCTGGTCCTGTCCTCTTCCACACAACCTAAAATGTTAGCCATATGCTGGTTTAATGCTCATGAGATTGAATATCATGCCTGCCTCATCCAGGTGTTCTTCATCCACACCTTTTCTTCTGTGGAGTCTGGAGTTCTCATGGCTATGGCCTTGGACCGCTATGTGGCTATCTGCTTCCCACTTAGGCACTCTAGTATCCTGACCACATCTGTGGTGGTCAAACTAGGGGCAGTTGTGATGGTGAGAGGGCTGCTGTGGGTGAGCCCCTTCTGCTTCATGATCTCCAGGATGCCCTTCTGCCCCAACATGGTCATTCCCCAATCATACTGTGAACACATGGCTGTGCTCAAATTGGTGTGTGCTGATACTAGAATCAATCGTGGATATGGGCTCTTCGTGGTCTTCTCTGTGGTTGGCTTTGATATGATGGTGATTGGTATATCCTATGTGATGATTTTGAGAGCTGTTCTACAGTTACCTTCAGGTGAAGCCCGCTTCAAAGCTTTTGGTACATGTGCTTCTCATATCTGTGTTATCTTGGCTTTATATATCCCAGCCCTTTTCACTTTCCTCACTCATCGCTTTGGTCACCAGGTGCCCCAAGTGGTTCACATCATGTTTGCTAATGTCTATCTACTGGTACCCCCCATGCTCAACCCCATCATCTATGGAGTTAGGACCAAACAGATCAGAGACAGGGTTATCCAAGGATGTTGTGGAAAAGACTCCTGAGCCAAGGATCACAGAAAACTGGCACTCTTATTGCCCCATGGATCTGGCACATAATGAAGAACAGTACCAGGCCTTTACCTATTACCACAAAGTTATCTCTGTGAACAACTAGCCCAGAGACATGTATTCTTTAGAAGAAAGAAGACATCTGAGCCCCGTGATGAATGATACAAACTTAATTGATCTGTGATTATTATCATAAGATAGCAATGTTTTTTCCTACATCAAATCACTGAATGTTTTAAAAGAATGCTATATCCAACAGATTATTTAGGTAAAAACATTGTTTTTGCACTCTTGTTAGAAGTATTATTTGGTAGAAGATTTAAAAGGAGAAATTTTGAAATTTCTCTCAAACAGATGAAAATACATGTATTTCCCAATCTGGTGAGCTCTTGTTTTTTTCCTTTTTTGTTTTGTTTTGGCAATACTGGTATCTCAACTCAAGTCTTCAGGTTGCTAGGCAGGTACTCTACCATTTGAGCCAAACCTTTAGTCATTTTGTCTTTATTTGATTTTTAATAGAGTCTTACATTTTTACCCAGTGTCAGCCTCAGACCATGATCTTCTTTCTGGACCTATGACTTCCTCATAGCTGGGATTACAGATATATACCACCATACCCAATTTGTTGCTTGAGATGTAGTCTCACTAGTTTTTTCCCCATTGGCTTGTCTCAAGTCAAAATCCTCCTTATCTCTGCCTCCAGATTAACTGAGGGTACAGGAATGCACAACCCCACCTAGCTCTGGGAATCTCTTTATAGAAATAGAACCTTTGAAACAAAACCCTGTATGAAAGACATGCATACAGTCATTATTGATAAAAAATAAAATGAAAACTAGAAAGTAAGTAATGCAACACAATTTGAATATTGTGTGAGCTATATTTATAGGTGTACTAAAATGTGAAAATGATCAAGATAAAGCACTAAATTAAAAAAGGAAGTAAAGCAACTACCTATTAGTCTTCATATCATTTCTAAGAAGGAATACATATGATCATAAAAGATTTAAGGAACACACACTAATATTAATAATAGCTACTTGGAATAGTGAGGCTGGTGGCATTTCCTTTTTAAGCTCTTAAAATATTTTGTTTTATTTCATATTTGATTAATACATTTTAATTGTGCATACTAACACTTTTTAAAAAATTATCCTTAACTGATAGATCTTAGTGTTACTCTGAGGAAAAAGTAATAAAAATATCAACAAAATATACAGAAGATTTAACTCATTGTCAAACCTAGGGGAATGGAGTAGAAAATCAGTGAGGACAAAGAACAATGAAATGGACCAAATGCACAAAAGCTTGCAAAGCTAGATGCAACTTTGCTACCAGCTCACAATTTCTTAAGACTGTTAACACAAGTATTCAGTGAGCAAGAGTAAATCTCTTTTTTCCAGAATTTGTCTGAGTCTCAACAGAAAATGGATTTCATAATGAAGGAATAATTTTGGAAAAGAATGAGGAAGAAGATTCTCTTATGAAGATAATATTTCATATGGGTTAATGTTGTGAGAAAGTCTTCAGAAATTTGTTATGATTTCCCTCTGAGTTAACATTTTAAGTGTTATAAAGTATCTTTATTGGCATATACTAGTTATAAGGGAGGTTTCATTGTGACGTTTCCACATGTGCTTACACTGTTGCTTGGTTACATTAACACCCTCCATCATTCTCCTTCGTGCACATCCCCAACTAGCTTCCCTTTGAATCATTATACTAGAATTGGTAATCTCTTCAATACTATTTTCTAGCAAAGCTGAGTATGACAAAACCTTTGGGAGCAGGTATCCATGAGTTCTAGTAATGTTAAACTGATTTCTGAGGGGGAAAATGGGGAGGAGGCAGACACTGTTGCAGGTGCAAAGGCAAAGGCAAGGGTTGCAAAGCAGCATGAAATATTTGAAAGTGGTTAAAGTCTTAGGCAACTGGACAAATAAAGACTCTAAAATTGAATATCATACTTTGAGAACTTCCTAATGTCACTGTGATGATCAAATTTATCCCTGAGGGTAGGATGTCTAAAAAAAAAACTGCATAGTGTTCTAAACTTACTCAGAGCAAAACATTCTGGACAGTGGAATTTGGGGAACCTTGAAAATTTAGTGGTGGTATCTTCCACTTCCAAATGTGGGTTGCTTTTCTGCCTTCCTTAGCACAGTAATAATCTGCTGACCTTCATCCCCAGGTCCTACAGAGAAAACTGAATCCCATGGGTGTTACCAGTGAAGACAAAACATGAGAAATAATGTAAATATAGGAAGACATAGAACTGATTGTTGTCATATATTCCACCCAGTCATGGAGATTCAAGACTGATAATATGATAGGCTTTTGTCTACATATAGAACCTATAACTTACCTAATCATTTAGATTCCCTAGGTTATTTTGTCAACCAAAGATAGTATGCTCACTTAATCATCTGTTGTTCTTTAAGTTCTGTATAGCATATGTATTTTATGATACCCATACCTCCTAATGTGCCTGATTTGGTATCTTCTAATGTTAGGTCATTTATCCATGACACCTGTCTCCAGCTGTTGAGCACTGAAGGTATCTTCTTTTAACACTTTGAGTTAATGTGGAGACAATCAGGGCTCTGTCAGGAAATAGAGAGGTAATCACTGCCTTGGTGATAAGTTCATTCTTTTACCCATTGCTCTCTACTCTGTCTATGCTCTGTGTCCCAACTAATGGAAGTTGACACTATAAATTACATCACATTGCCCACATATCAAAGCCATTCTATTACTGCTGCAATTATCTGCAACCAAAGGACCCTGCTTCACCCACACTCTTTGATTCTGGTCTGCTAAATATTAGTGTCAGGTAAATTTTAATGGCAACGTGTTAGCCAGGAGTAGGCCTAGGCACAAATTATGATGAGCTAACTTTTTTCATAATATCTTCCTCCTCTATTGAGCTGTTCATATTGCTGTTCACTATCATTAAATCTCCCTCATTACTGAATACACTGTATCTTATCCCTTCTTGTCCTTCACATGGCAAGAAAACAATTTGGCAATGAATAAACTTTTGGCAAATATCTTCAGTAACAATGATTCACCTCTGTTTTGAATCCACAAAATTAAATTTATATAAAACAGTATTTCATGTGGAAATGTATTTGCTTTATAGCAATTTACCATATAGTTGAAGTAAAGAGTAACCCAATATTTTTTGAAATGGAATTACATGAATATTTTCATGATCTCTTTTACTTCTTGTTCTAATCTCTCACATTTCTTTGTATAAAAATATATGCTGCATAGTGAAGATGTTTGTGAACCTCTGTTGAATATGTGTGTATATGTATGTTTGATCAAGTGTGTTTGTGAGTCTTTATATTTAACAATCTGTGATTTTGTGAGATGGCAGGAGGTCCATTAGGAGTTGAATTAGCATTCAGGATGTGTACATGTAAGTTTATGTGTGGCAGCTACATACATGCATGTAAATGTGTTTTTGTTTCCACATATCTTTTCATATGAGTACATGCATATATATCACTTAATATTCATAAGTGCTTCTACCTTCAGTAATGCACATTTATTTGTTATTTCTTTATTTTGACTATGTATATATCCTACTTATAAGTAAAATTAAAGGTCTGTGAATTTGATGTGCATCTGCCTGAAAAGTATTTCTGTCAGTAAAAATAAATCTCCTTTACATGTGTATATGACTGTGTATGTTTCTGGGTATCAATTTGAACAAGTGTGTGTGCGTGCGTGTGTGTGTGTACCATGTGTATGTGTGAGTGTAAGGCATATCTGTGATGCAGACATACACACTGGAGATTAAATACAAGCATACATCTCTGTGTGAATGGAATTTGATTTAAATTTATTTTAAATGACATGTAAGAACATACAAATTAATAGAATTAATATCAGAGATAAAATTTATTTGTAGCCTAATAACCCTTAGAACACAATGTCACATGTAGAAACTATCAGACAAATGTCACCAACACAATGTGTAAAATAAAACTAATCATCCCAGAGTTTTTAATGTAGGTCATCCTTTCCCAACTACTTTACAGTATTAGACTCTAGGCTTTATCTTTGATAATTTGAAAATCCACAATAATACTTCCATTTATCCTTTTCCTTCAGCTCTTCATTCCCATTTTTTCTTGATGTATTATATTATCTTTGATAAGTGTAAGTATGGACAATTTTGATATTCTCAACTGACAGATTTTTGAGTTGTTTCTACCACTTAAGTGTCATGAATACACTGCTATATACATTCTTAGACACTTTTGTGGTAATTGGATACCATTTCCACAGAGTATGCTACTAAAAATGGAATTTTGTGATCAAAAGGATGATAATTTTATTAGAAATTAGAATTTCTGATATGACTGCAATCAAGGCATGAGTGGGCCAAATTGCCTCCCATGTTAACCAATACTCACTGTTGTTAGTATATTTAACTTTAGCTATTCTTGTTTTGTTTTGTTTATTTTTTTATTTTTATTTTTTCATTATTCATATGTGCATACAAGGCTTGGGTTCATTTCTCCCCCCTGCTCCCACCCCCTCCCTTACCACCCACTCCGCCCCCTCCCTCTCCCCCCCTCAATACCCAGCAGAAACTATTTTGCCCTTATCTCTAATTTTGTTGAAGAGAAGTATAAGCAACAATAGGAAGGAACAAGGGTTTTTGCTGGTTGAGATAAGGATAGCTATACAGGGCATTGACTCACATTGATTTCCTGTGCATGGGTGTTACCTTCTAGGTTAATTCTTTTTGATCTAACCTTTTCTCTAGTTCCTGGTCCCCTTCTCCTATTGTCCTCAGTTGCTTTTAAGGTATCTGCTTTATTAACGTTAGCTATTCTAATGAGTGTACATTGACATCCTTGCTGTGGTTTGAGTTTTCATTTTCCTAATGGATAATAGTGTTGTACAATTTTCACCTGTGTATTGGCCATTCATCTTCCTCCCTTTTTAAATATAGATATCCACTTTTTCCAGAAAAG